TCTCACCCTCTCGCTACCTGACTTCACTGCATCAGCAGACTACGAGAGAGAGAGAGCTTGGTGACATTTGGATCCAGACTCGACATTGGGCTTCAGACATTTTGACGAGCGACATTGATTAGGCTAGTCATTGGTATTCTAGCATTCTGCTCCGCTGTCTTGTACTACGTGAGAGAGGTCAGTCCCGGTCAGGTCAGGACTTGTATCTAACTCTTCCACTGCGCTATAAAACACCATTTTTGTATGTATCAGGATGTGCACTGCTTGTTGAGATTTCACTAGCACTGCATTGTCCATTCAGTCCTTTTTATCACATTGGGGATCCTTGGTTATATACGTACATCACCCAACTGGGCATGTAACAGTGTCCCTGACGTTGCCTCTGAGATATCGCTTCCGTCAGAAGTAGTTTGTCCCTGTTCTCCTCACATTTGGACAATGACTTACCGTGAGCCTGCATGAGGGCACGGGTGCGCAGCCTGTAGTTTGGGGTTGGATTCAGATGTTGCGTTGTGGGGCATAGTAGGCATTTTGAAATTTGAAGTGGAAATAGGGGGTTTGTATGGTATTAGTGTGCTGGACATAATTGACATATTGACATATTGAGAGAGAGAGAGAGAGAGAGAGAGAGAGAGAGAGAGAGAGAGAGAGAGAGAGAGAGAGAGAGAGAGAGAGAGAGAGAGAGAACAGGTGCCCACTTGGTTCTTCTGCCACCAAGTGAAACAGCCGTGCCATGCAACCAACACAGATTGTTCTCAATAGGTCGCTGAATGCATCCAGATTTAGAACGCATCCTCCACACCTGTTAGCCTGAGCTGCGCGCGCTGTTTCAGATAGGACTTGGGCCCTCGTTTCGTTTGTTCTTTGGACGCCCTGCACAGCTCAGGCTCCTGACTTTGACAGGGCGAATTGTTTTGAAATATTTTTCCACAGAATTTGGGAAATCTGATTGGCTTCCTGACCGATTAATTTGGACCATCAGTTCTTACTTGTAGGATCAGGATCTCTAGTCCTGAGCAGGATGTTGTATCCCATTTTGACCGTGTACTGTGGTATCTGGACGGGCGTTTTGATATTCTTATTTCTATCTGGGAGCCAAGCCCACTCCTCGGGGTCGAAATCCAAATGTTGAATCGCAGTATCAGTCCTGAAAATTATTTTAGGCCATACCCCCACCACTCTCACTGCTCTGAGCACATAAGGACTTAAACTTCCACATATTTGTTAAGAATGGAGGGGAAGTGTTACATCTTCGACTCACACGGGTCCTACCGGACCCGACTTAGGGCCGGAGGGACACACCAGGGCCTAAAGGCCCGACCTTTGGGGTTACAGGCCCTAAAGGCCTGATTTTGGACTATCACCCATCGGGTAGGCCCAAACGACACATCGTTTGGGCCTGGCGGCGCTCTTGAAGCTGCCGCCCGCCGATTGAGGCTGAACCGTCCATCTGGACGGTTCAGGGTCTGGCCTGGCCTCGCAGCATTGAGGCCAGACCATTGCCCACCGGTATAAGTACCGGTATCCGCCTCAGTAGTGGGATCGGCCTACCGGAACTCTACCGGCACGGCATGGTCAGTGCTAGTGCACTGTTTGATGCGCTAAACTTAGCGCGGGGCTGAAGCAGGAGCGCAGCATAGCGCAGCAGCGAGCGGAGCAGCAGCGGGCGACTGAGCTTGCACGGCGGTTCTTACCGCCTGAGGKATCGGGAGCTTGGAGGGTCTCTCCTCCTCTCCCTCGCCAGTCCCCTCTCTCTCTCTCTCTCTCCTCTTCCTCCTCCTTCTTCTTCTTCTTCTCCTTCTTCTTCTTCTTCTCCTTCTTCTTCTTCTTCTTCTTCTTCTTCTTCTTCAGATTGGAGACTATCCAGTTGRACAGAGATCAGAGTTGGATTTCGGTGATACGGGACTGTGGTACTTACCTGATTGGAGACTTGGAGATTGTTGAGGTTGATACTCGGCTGCATCACAGTTGGACACCGGTTACATCTGGACTCTGTTATCTCCGACATTGGTGACCTTTGGTCCTCGACATATCTTGTTATATGACATTCTGGACTACCATTTCGGAGACCTATCAGACCCTATCTTTGTGACCTATCGGTGTGATCTACCTCCCACCTCCTTCGTCTCTCCTCCCACCTTTCATCTGTGTATGTGTGTACG